TATAGTATCAGGCAGGGTAATTCAGTGCCCTAAAAGTCCTCTGTGTTTCACTTATTCAACCTTCCTCCTCTCTAACCCCTGACAACCACTAACTAGGCTTTTTATTGTCTCCAAAGTTTACCTTTTCCAGAATGTCTTATAGTTGGCTTTTTAAACTTAGTTATATGCATTTAAGGTCCCTCCTTTTCTTTTCATGGCTTGATAACTCATTTCTTTTTAGCACTAGTATTCCATTGTCTGGATGTCCCTGTTCCCCCATTCACCCACTGAAGGACATTTTGGTTGCTTCCAAGTTTTAGCAATTATGTTATAAAACTGCTATAAACATTTGTGTGTAGGTTTTTGTGTGGACATAATTTTTTAACTCATTTGGGTGAACACCAAGGAGCATGATTGCTGGATCACATGGGACGTTATGTAAGAAACTGCCAAAGTTGACTTTGAAAGTGGCTGGACCATTTTGCATTCTCAATAGTAATGAATGAGAGTTCTGCTATTCCACATCCTCATTAGCAGTTGGTGTTGTGGTTTTGATTTTCACCATTCTAATAGTTTGTAGTGTTATCTCACTGTTGTTTTAGTATGCAATTGCCTAATGATATATAATGCTGAACATTTACAGGTGGAGGGCCCATTGCTATAGCACATGTTGAAACACTTTTCTCCATTATATTATCTTTGCTCCTTTGTCAAAGATCAGTTGGCTATGTTTGTGTGGGTTGTATCTTATTTTTTAGTCAGTCGACCTTTTAATTGAAATTTTTAGTCCATTTCCTTGCAAATAATTTTTGATATGAATGGGCTTAAGTCTTAAGGCCACTTTGCTGTTTGTTTTCTAATTGTCCCATTTTCTATTTTCCCCCTCTATTCTTCCTTTCCTGCCTTCTTCTGGGTTAAATGTGTCTGATTCCTCATTGTTTTTATGACATACTTACCTTTTTAGTGGTTTCTCTGTTCAGTTTTTAAAAAATTTTTTTACCCCGTTTTTCAGGTTATATATATCTATGGATTTATGTTCAAGTTCACTACTCCTTTCTTCTGCAATATCTAATAGCCCATACAATGATCTTTTTATTTTAGTTTGAGTTTATACTTTTGAGGTTTATGCGTTATAATCCTTTATGTCTTTGAATGTATTTAAATAGCTGCTTTAAAGTTCTGTGAATTACCAAATGCTAGATCATTTCAAGGTCTGTTTCTAGTAACTGTTTTATTTTTTTCTTGATCATAGAACACATTTTCCTGCTTCTTTGCATGGCTGGTACATTTTTATTGTATGATGGACATTGTGAATAATACCTTGTAGGTGTCTGGATTGTGTCACCTATAAATGGTACTGAATTTTATTCTTTGTTAGAATGGGGCTATTTGTTTGAACTTAGTCTGGTATGGCCCATGGGCTGGATGTGTGTTGTTTAAATGAGGTTTTATTATAACATAGCCACTGCTCATTTGTTTAAATATTGTCTATGGCTGCTTCTGCAGAATGACACAGATCATACAGCTCATAAACCTAAATTATATACTATGTGGCCTCTTAAGAAAAGTTGGCCAACCCCTGCCAATACACTCCTGACGCCTCGTCACATTTCTAGAGCAGTAGCTAAATGACTGAAGTGTTCAGTGAGGCCTCTTCACCTGGGCTTGTTTGGCACTCCAAGGATTCCCCAGCCCTAACTGCTGGAGTCACGGTTCCATTCTAAGTCCCAGCGCAGGTCTTTACCAAGGCTTACAGATCCTTTTCCTGTACATGCACATCCCAGACCCCAGGCAAGCTTCTGCCTTCCTTTTCTCTTGAACTCTTATAAATTCCTTCTGCGTGAGTAACCCAACCTCTGCCTCTTCAGCTCACAACTGCCACTCTGCTTGGGCTCAAGCCCCCCAGTCAAAGCTAGAAAATGCCCCCAGGCAGAAATTCAGGATGGTCAATTGTGGTGTTTAGCCTCCTGTGTCTCCCTTCTCTTGGAGCTCAGTGCTGGGCTGTCTGTTGTGCAATACTTGAAAATACCTGCTGTGCATGAAAAAAAAGAGTTCTGTGGAAAGTAATGTCACAGGGTAATCTGATCATAAATTCCTACTGGGCAGGTCATGGTGGGCAGTCACGCCCCACGCACGTAACTTCTTTAGTAAAAGGTTGATCTTAAGCAAGCCCTGCCCTGTTTCTGTGGGTCTAGGTTAACATACCTTTGAAATACGCCTGCCTTCTAAAGCATGCAAGAGGTCATCCAATCCCACCTTTCTTTCTCCCACCCTCATATAATCTTCCTTATTATCTGTCCTTAATTTCAGCTGCATAAAAGGAACTGCAAAACTGTTATGCTCTAGAGCAGCGGTTCTCAACCTTCCTAATGCCGTGACCCCTTAATACAGTTCCTCAAGTTGTGGTGACCCCCAACCATAAAATTATTTTCGTTGCTACTCTATAACTGTAATTTTGCTACTGTTATGAATCGTAATGTAAATATCTTTGTTTTCCGATGGTTTTAGGTGACCCCTGTGAAAGGGTCGTTCAACCCCCAAAGGGGTCGTGACCCACAGGTTGAGAATCGCTGCTCTAGAGCATTTGAGATCTTGCTCCCTGGCATATGTTGTCAGTTTGGCTCAAATAAACACTTATAAAAATTCTCCACAGGTCTGGACGTTTCTTACAGCAACAACACTGCCCACATATATTTTGTCCAGGCTTAAAGTTGTTTTGATGAGAGCAACTCTGGGACTATTTTGTTATGATAAAACCGCTTTTGCAAAATCAAAGATCCTAGAAAAGATTCTATTCATGGCCTTTTATCTGTCTGACACTCACTGAATCTTCTACGTAATCATTTTCAGGTTAACTATGTTCAATTCCCTTGATCATTCCTCATAGCACAAAACAGATAGCACTTAAGTCATTACAAGTTGGAGATGCACAACCAGGAGAGTTCTCGTCTTCAGAAGTTCAGTCTAGTAAACCAAACATCACACTCATCCCTTTTGCCATAATTTCTGGAGCATGAAATAGGGCATACAGAACTAAAGATAATTAAAAGTGATGTAGGATATCTGATTATTTCTGATTGTGTGTGCGCACCGGGATCTTGGTCTCGTGGAACCGAAGAATGGAGACACAAACCAGAGAGGTAAAGTTTGCAGCAAAGGACAGTTTATTAAAGTAGAAAGAGTTACAGCTCTCAAAGTGAGAGGGGGTACCCGAAACTGAGATGCCCACTAGCTCAAGCAAAAGCTTTTGCTTTTATACTTTTCCTTGTATATCTGGGGAGAAAAGCTGGCTGGCACCTTTTGGTACTATTATCAGATTCTCGCTCTGTTGCTCAGCCTGGAGGGGGCTTTTGCAATAGCCCATTTGTCTCAGAACGTAAGTGGGTTAGGGTGCACTATTTCAGTACTAGCCCAGCTGTCTCAGAATTGGTGTTTCTGCTCTGGCTGGGGCATGTTTCTCTCAAGGCCTATGCCTTGAAGATATGTATTCTACCTCGGGATTCCTGACTGCCTTCTGTTATGCTAACTAACCTGCCTTAATCCCCACTTTGAAGACAAAACCCTAACTTCTGACTTTGGTTGTTATAGGCTTGAAAAAAAAATAGGTTTTCCTCCTCCTGTACCTGAGTTTGTCATTCTGGGGGTCCTAAGACATAAACCCATCAGTCAGATATTAAAATTATTTCCCCTGGCTACGTTACGGTTTCCACCCTAATTCCCTCTAGGTGGCTGTTTCCCTGGTTGCCTATAACTTTTTCTATCTCAAAAGCAGAAGGCTGGATGTCCTTTCGACTCCCCATATCATCCTTACTAGTGGTAGAGGTGGGGAACAAATGCAGTATTATGGGAGAAATTGGGTAGAATTTATAGAAATCTAAAAGATGTATAGAAGTGAGACTTGAGCAAAGGTCACCTTTTCTGGATTTCTTTACCTACAAACTATTAAATGAATTAAATGCATGCTAGCTTTTACCTTCTTAAGATCAGTGTTTTCAGAAATAAGTCAACCGAGTTTTATTTTATGAATTTTTAGTGTTGTGTCTTTGGCTCTAAAACTAAGATACATAATCGGGGACCATAACCTCATTCATAGAGCCTTTGCCTGTGTTTTCTTATGGCCAAACCCCCTCCAGTCAAGTTGCTTTGTCCTGTTCTAGTTAGATACTTAAGTCCTATCTTAAGAGAAATTCATTCAGTGATAACACCTAGTTGGGAAGCTTGGAAAGCACAAGCACTGCAGCCTACTTATCTTGAGAGAGAAACATCCAAAGCTATGGAGAATGTTCATTAGTTTATTTGAGCCAAAGCTGACAACTGACTGGAAGGAAGATCAAAAATGCTCCAGAGGGTAACAGTTTACAGCTTCTTTTGTGTATTTAAAATTAAGGAGGGAACGTAAGGAAGATTGCATGAGAGTGGAAGGAAGCAAGGTGAGGACTGGATTACAAGATAATGTGCTGTCTTAGGGTGGTTACCCCTTTGAGGGGTATTACTTCTGGCATTTCAAAGGTGTGCTAACCTGGGTGCACAAGAACCACACACAGGGGCTGGCTTAAAACCTTTCACTGGGGCCGGCCGAGTGGCGCATTGGTTAGGAGTTGGCTTGGGACGCCAGCTCTGAGCAGCAGGACCATCAGTTCAGATCCCACATGAGGGCCAGTGAAGAACATGAAGAACAAAAGGACAGCAACTTGTCTGCTCCCTTTCCCCAATTCCCCAATAAAATCTTTAAAACAACAACAAACCTTTCACTGAAGAAGATGTAGGCCTGGGGCATGACTAACCATCTTACCTGCCCAGTTAGGAATTGATGATTACAACACCCCTTTTTTGTCCACCATTCCCTTTTGGTCATAAATCGGTCTGAAGGCTACACTGATGACCAACCTTTTATCTGGAGAGTGTGGCCTCACAGTGCAAGGAAGGCTCATTCCTAGGAAGTCTCAGTATTGATGTCTAATTGAGATGGTGGACCATTGGGGATGGAGAAATACCATAACCACGGTGTCGACAAAAGAATGTCCAAACCTGTAGAGAAATTTTATAAAAATTTGAGCCAAACAGAATACAATGGGAAGCAAGATCTCAACAGATTAAGATAAATGCTGGAGAATAAGTTTGCAGTTTCTTTTATACATTTAAGATGAAGGAGGGAACTAAATTACATTGAAAGTAGGAAAAGCAAGGCGGAGATCAGATTACAGGTTAGTTAGGATTACTTACTCTCATGAGGGTAGTTGCAGGGCAGTTGCACTTTAGAAGGAGGGCTCTGAAAGGGGGCATTTCACAGGTGTGTTACCTAGCTGCACAGACACAATGGACAGGTCTGCTTAAGGCAAAGAGAAGCTTTAGTAAAGAAGGTAAGGCCATGCCTGGGCGTGACTACCTACCCTGCCCAGTTAGGAATTTATGATGGTATCACCTTGTGAGGTTACTTCCCTTTATTCATCCAAAATGGGATGTGAGTCGAGGCTGAATTTTCCTCAGAAGGAGGGGCAGGTAAGTGGAAGGCAGTCGGGTCTTATGGCCTTCATTGCAAAAATAAAACACTCTGGATCATTTCTATCCTGTGAACCATCAGGATCTGAGATTTGCCTTCTGTCTCATTTTTCTGTGGATGGCATCTAGTATAACATTTACATGAGCATGAAAATAGTATTAGCACTTATCTCATACATGCTCAGTAATCATAAACAGTTTGACTATATAGAAAAGCCCAAAGAACAAGTGTAACTACTATTATGGCAAAAATCATTAGCAGACAGATAAAGATAATCAAATAAAATGGATTCTGAGTTTAGTATCAATCTGTTGGTATACAGGCCTTGTTGATGTCTTGGGACCACTGTCCCATTGGTATTGGTGGCTTTTCATCCTCAAGGAGTCTCTATAGACAGGAGTAGATGTCCATCTGCAGCTAGGCGCGTGATAAGATCCCTTCCAATGAGGTTGGACAATGTCTTTTACTTAACGTCCTTTCTAGTAAAATCTCCAGGTGGCAGTCAGTGATCTTTAAAGTCTTTGTCTCCTGGGAGTCCTGGGAGCTTGCTGTGAAAGGAAGCAGTTACCATTGTGGCATTTTCCTGAAGTGACTCTCTCAAACCTTGGCAATATGTAAGATGTCAGCTCATAAGTTCCTTCATCTAAGTTCAGCTTAAATGCACTACGATGAAGCCAGGGAGCTGGGAGGAACAGTGGTCATCTTGGGTTTCCCACAGACCCAACTATTTTTTTAACTATTGTTTACCCAGACAATATACCCTAGAAGTTTTTTTCATCACTTATTTTACAATGCTTCCAATAAAATTTAACATGAATACAAATCTTTTGAGATGTTCCAGGGGCCCTTCTGGAACACTGCAAAGTTATTCCTATAAATATTGAGATTTTAACCCTTGAAACCTCAATTTCTAATGAAAACTAAGAAGTAGGCAATCAACGTGCTTTAGCTTGGCAGATTTATGAAGACATTTTATAACCTATAGAAACATTTCATAGACATCAAAGTCATGAAATGACTTCGGACTGATTTTGTAAATCAGTCCATAGTGAATGAGTATGGACTGATTTTGTAAAACCCAGGCAAAATATAGCAACAAACTTAAGTTAGATTTTATTTATTTACTAAGTATTAATCTTAGATCACATGAACTTGAAAAGCATTTGAGTTAGTTTCTGTATTTCTGAGAACTTTAGAATACCCAATCCTTACAAGCACTGCCTTTACATTAATTTTAGCAATACAATCCAGAGGTAGAAAACTATTGGGTAGTCAGAAAAGTCTTGACACATTTTTGCAGCGAAAAACAGAATACGTCATGACTTTTCCAACAACCCAATATCTCACATTTATAACATACATAGACAGACAGACACAGAGAACAGCTGGATCCAAATTTTGTTTTGGAGGCCTTTTACATCTGTCTTTGACATGTCAAGTTCCAAATGACCTCCCCCTTCTAAAATAACAACAGCCAAGAGCATTTTCTCAATCCGTTGAGACTTTGTTTCCAAGGCAATTGTCAGTTTGGCTCAAATAAACTTTTATAAGCTTTCAAAAATAAATTAATTAAATTAAAATAAAATATGAACAGCCACTTTTAACACCTTAAAGAATTGGGTTGAAACCTAAATGACATTATAGGTTGATCCATTTATCTAAATGCTTTTTTCTGGTAATTCTTTTACATGGTTTCACTTTAGCTTAGGGGAGAAGGTCTTTTTAAGTTCTGAGAAAGTCTCTAATAGTTTTTTTTTTCCTTCATTCTGCCTAATTTTATAGCTGGCTTCTTCTAATTGTATGTGCAAAAATAATTATTTAGAAGTATCAAAGGATCCTCATCTTGAGGCTGACTACCCTGGGGCTTGTCAGCGGCCTCAGAGGCACAATTTCCCGTTAATTATGACATATATAGAGTCTGAACAAACTCCTAGGGAAACCAACCTTTATGTGTACACATGCATGTCTCCACACAAGCCAAATGAAGTGTATATCCCCTTAGGCAACCCCCCAAAATTCCTAGTCACCTAAGAACACCCACACAAGAGCCAGTGAGAGCTTACCAGATGCCATCAGAACTGCGACGCTTTCCAGGGCACAGGCCGCTCTCTCCAGGGGAACCCAATTCGAGTGCCCTGCCCTTCTCCTTGGGCTCCCCCAGGCTTCTCAGGAATCGGCTGCATTACCACACTGGACACCTCGCGGTGCCAATCTCCACCACTCTGGATTTGGGGATCTGCCACAACTATCACCACCCATCAAATTGGCTATTTGGGTTGGGGAAGCAACTACCCTTTCTCTTTCAGAGCTAAAGAGAGTTCAGTCTCTCATTTAACCAGCAAAGATTTTGCTCAGACTCCCAGTAAGCAACCCAATTCAAAGCTGAAATTAGTAACCCATATTCTTTTCCTGGATTATCTCAGCCCTTAATCCACCTTGAGGATTTTCTAAGAACAGCTCAAATAAAGTCATGGTCTGCTACTTAAAGCAAGGAGACCCAGAATTCTAAGAGAAACTCACCCACGTTCACCCGATGCAAAGCAGGGCACTGATGAGGCACAGTGGGCCTCTGCTGGTACCAGACACCCGTCCCGGTCTGCAGGGTGGTCCTGGGTGGGCTTCAGAATTCTGCCGTACGGCACCAAATCAATGTTGCCGTAAGAAACGTCCAAACCTGTAAAGAACTTTTGTAAGAGTTTATTTTAGCTATAATAAAATTAACAATTACCAGGAAGCAAGCTCTAAAACGCTCCAAAGGATAACAGTTTGAAGTTTCTTTTGTGCATTTAAAATTAAGGAGGGAATGTAAGGAAGACTGCATGAGTGGAAGGAAGCAAGGTGGGGACTGGATTACAAGATAATGTGCTCTCTCAAGGGTGGCTACGCCTTTGAGGGGTGTTACTGTGGCATTGCAAAGGTGAGCTAACCTAGGTGCAGAAGAGCAATGGACGGGGCTGGCTTAAAAACCTGTCAATAAAGAAGCTCTAGGACTGGGCGTGGCTACCCACCTTACCTGGCCTGTTAGGAACTGATGATTTATTACAGCACCCCTTTTTCATCCACATTATCAAACAAAAGAATGAGATATTTAGGGTGAGAAACCCTTAACCTTATTTTAAATTAATCTTAACTTGGGAATATCTAATTCAGAAGAAAAATAGTTGGCGCTGCCACATCTTCTGTTGCTTAGAGTTGTGGGCACTAGTTTCAGGCCATCACTCTGTCCCACTCTGAGTTGTAGGCATCTGACCAGGGGACAGACCCTGACTCTAGTAACAGCCCAAGTTACGTAGGTTCATGAGGTTTGAGCAGGAGCAAACCCTGATATGCTTCTTTCCCTTAACAGTATAGGCCAGAGGCTGGCAAACGTTTCCTGTAAAGGGTCAGATGGCACGTATTTGAGGCTTTCAAGCCATGGTCTGTCACACCTGCTCAATTCTGCCAGTTGTAGCATGAAAGCAGCCATAGAGGATACGTAAACAAATGGGCGTGGCTGTCTTCTAACAAATGGTGTTTACAAAACAGGCAGCTAGATTTTGGCCCAAAGACTATATATTTTGCTGACCCCTGGTGAACATAAATAAATCTAAGCTTGCAAAAGTTTAACTGTGTTTTCAGTTTTATAAAATTTTGAAGGCCTGGAGAAAATGTTTTCCGATTTTGTAAGTTGCCATTTCTACTGCATGATTATCTTTTTTTTTCTCTATTGATAAGATAAAGCTATAGTTACCTCACATTTACTCTAAGTCAGCAGTTCTCAACCTGTGGGTCATGACCCCTTTGGGGTCGAACGACCCTTTCACAGGGGTCACCTAAGACCATCGGATAACAAAAAGATATTTACATTACAATTCATAGTAGTAGCAAAATTACAGTTATAGAGTAGCAACGAAAATAATTTTATGGTTGGGGGGTCACCACAACATGAGGTAAGGAGTCGCAGCATTAGGAAGGTTGAGAACCGCTGCTCTGAGTGATCAATGTGGTAAAAAGGACTGTTTCTACATGCCACCGAGTCATACAGTATTTTTGCGTTCTATACCTTCAAAATGAAACTTCTTTTCTCTTGACAGATAAACACTTCATGTGAAGAGTGGTGACAGGGAGCACTGAGTTTTGAAGTGGCCCGGAGAGGAAAAGCACGGGCCAGTTACCACGGGGACAGGCGTTCGGTGTTTTCCAAAGATGCTGAAGTAGTCTTTGACACTCACAGCTGTGCTCCACTCAGTCCAACCTCTTCCTAACATGGGCTGCATGAAATCAAAGCAAATGTTCCCATTTCCTACTACAATTGAGAGTAACAACCAGCATGCAAGTACAGAAAGCTTCGTGTCAGGCGACAGATTTCCTCCGAGGATGCCTTCTCCAGTTATCAAGGAGGTGGCCAGGGAACCCTCAGAGTCCGAAATTGTGGTCTCTGAGTTTGCACACCGCCTGTCCCAGGAAATCCTGAGTGACGCCTTGCAGCAGTGGGCAGACAACAACACTAAGTACTGTGACATCCCATTCATTGAGAACGAGGGGTAGAAAGATGGCACTGGCTTGAATTGTGGATCTAGTTGGTGCTAGCTTAAATACAGGAAGCAAAAGCAAAAAGTGGTGTGATTAAATACAAACGACTCCATCTGAATGTAAAATTAAGTCTATGATAATATCAAGAGTGTAGGAATACCTACAATGAAATGTGTTTTACGCAGTTCTATGACAACAGCACTTTCTATCAGCTTGGTCTTGGATGTTAGTCCTTTAAAGGGCTAACCACAGTCCTGTGGCACCACCCTAATCAGCTGTATGCCACACCACTTTCTTGAGACAGTATAGCATCACCAAAGAAATAAAAAGGAAAAAGTGCCCTAAGTTTCCAAATGGTTTAAAGACCTTCCTTTAATATAACTATTTAATTTATACCAACTCCCCTCCCCCCTGCCAAGATATGAAAAGGATTTTTCTTGAAATGCCTCAGCAATGAATGGCACTCAAGCAGATTAACAGTGAGTGGGGCTTGTTGGTCAAAACCATTTGTGTCAAGGATCCCTGTTTAACACAAATGATCCAGTGTTAGAAAGCACCCCATGTAGAGGAGGTCCACCTTGAACCCTGTCCTTAGTAAGATAGTTATGCTTGTCATCCTCAAACATAAGTCTCACCTTGAATCTCAGGGCCCTAACTGACCACAACTATTATTGAATGACTCAGATTTTGTGTAAATTTCACAGGATACAATTTACTTAATCATGGCATTAATGTTTATTGCATTGAATTAAGCCCAATGATCTATAACTATACAAGAAAACAAATTTGGGTGCCTTTGATAAACAGAAGCCCTAGCTGGCAAGGTAGAAAGCAGAGCCGGGTTGCAGTGCTGAATGTGTACTAAGCTTTACTGTCTCACAGATGCACAGGGTTGGTATATGGGCACTTCTTCCCATTTTTTTTATTGACTAGAGGGGCAATCACCAAATTACTGTGGGACCAGATTATGCGTGAAAATCTATTGCTGTATTACTACAGATCAGACACTCCTCCGAAAACAGTATTTACGCATTTTTTTTTATGGTAACATTGCCCATTGGACATTTACAGCTATATACTGTACTATTTTTATAAATTAGGCTACCTTTTTCAGGAAGCTTTGTTTTAAAGAATTAGTACTGTTTGAGATCCATGGTGACAGAAAATTTGGGAGAGACGGAAGAAGATACTAAGACATAACAGGAAAACTGGGAGTGAGTCTCTCTAGAATTACCTTTTCATCAAGATTTGCTACACATTGAGTTTAACTGGCAAGGGAATTATTTAAGCCCTTGTGCGTTAGATTCTTTTAAGATACAACAGACCCTTGTCACTGAAATCTAAAGGAAGGCAGAGAAAGGCTTGTGACCTCTTTAATGAGATAAATATGTATTTGGCCTTGTAAGCAGGCAGAAATGCTATATCTAATTTTAACAAAGATACTTTAAAACCCACAATCAAATAGTGAATTCTCCAAGTTACATGGGCCAAGAAAGTTCTTTAAAGTGAGTGATGTGCCATCTTTCTGTTACCTTTGGATACCTGGTCATTCAGCTTTCATTTCACCTAGTCCCAGGATTTGTACTGTCCTATTGTACTTGCCATCTTAACAACTCAGAAAAAGCACACGCGTTTATACAAGGAAATATATGTCATAAGTCATGAGGCTGAGAACAGAGTTTCCTAAAACTACAAAACATATTTCCAGCTCATGAAGAAAAATTTAGGTTTTTGAGTATTTATACTGACTCAGATAAAAGCCTAGATGTTGCCATTTTTCATTCATTGTATCTCTCACATCAGGACACTTGCTACAAGGTATTCATTTGCTGAAAGATATAATTAAGTTTGTAAGATAATGCATATTGTGAGAACACAAAGCCATATAAAAAGCAGCACATCGCACTAAAATTTTCAGCATGCATAGGGACATAGACTACTGGGTTTTGGTTATATCTAAATGTTTTAACCTTAGGTTACTCCTGTGCCTTGGGCCTGTTTCCCAGGGGTGTAACAGGGATGCCCGCCAGACACACATGTAGCTACAAGTCTAAACTGTGTTGCCCCCCTCTGACACGATGGCAGTACAGATGTCGCTGATCACCACCTCCTCGCTCCTGAATCATTTTAACAGAGTATATATCCTGTGACATACAGAGACTTGTCTTAGAAATGGGCAGGAACTACAAGGCTGGCACAGTGTCAGTGGATAAACCAAGTTGGGAGCAGGCAGGAGAAAGAGCTGGGTAAAGAATCTGTACTCCATGCGGTGGCTGCCAAGATGTAGTTTGGCCTTGCTGGCAAGATAGATAAGGACATCTTCGATAGGATAATTCAGCTTCTTTCATACCTTCATATTTAAATATTGAATTTACTTTATTTTAAAGGTCCCGCCTGTTGGAACAATAAAAGAGTAGAGGGACTGTTTTAGGGAGGAGACATAAAACAGAAGACAAAGAATTACTAGCTACTGGAAAGGGAAACATTGGTTCCAAAATACATCACACACACAGATGAAATACAAATGATGGCCAGTTAGTAAGAGAAAGGAACGTGAGGAAAAGAGAGCCCAAGAAACAGCACTAGTGTCAAACTCCATCAGAAATGCACTGCAAAAACGAGTTTCCAGTGTTTTCCACTGAGGGGAGGGACCCGGGAGCAAGGTCCCGTCTTTACCCTGCTGACACACGCCCAACCACTGCGTCTGTGCCCTCGAGAACATCCAGGATAGGGGCCAAGGAGCTGCCACCAGCATGACAGAGAACCTGCAGATGACAATGGCAGAAGCAGCAGTTCATTAGAGGAAACCTGCCAATTCCTCATTTGCAAAGACTCACAGAGCCTCACAGTGTGCTTCACCCCTGCTCCCCCAGCTCAGGGTCTCCTGTGCACAATACCTTTCAGTTACAGGCCTGTGATACGAGTTCTCCACTTTCAGTTGCCTTACCAGTTCTTTGCAAACTACCTATGGTTGTTATTAGCACTTAAAGCACAATTTTGAAGGGGATAAAAATGATGTTGGTTCCAAGAGAATAATTTGTGTCAAACTGCCTTAGTATTAAAAATAGACACACGCTGGATGAACAGAGCATGGTACTCATCCTATTCATGTCATTGACATTTTATGAATTGGAGGGAACTATACTTTTGTTATTACATGGTTTTAGAAATCATAAGTTAGAGACACATTATAAGTAATGTCAAGGAACAGTCATTTAAAAACAAACTTCTAACAAATATATTGTTTGCTTAATCACAATGCCCTCATCCTGTATTTGTGTGACCAAATAGGACATGTCTTGCTCAGAGCACTGGGCACAGGCTCAGAAGCACTCCCTGTATCTTTGCAAAACTCAAGTTTTGTAAACAAATTCACTTCCCTGTAAGACTTAGCTATGAAAGGGTATATTTTTCCCAAATATTTTTGTGAAAATACTTTTTTATAACTGTACAGTAAAAGTCTAGTTGCAACTAGCTATGAGTTCTTATTTAACTGAAATAAGCAAATGCTTTTCAATGCTGTGTGTACTTTCAAATCTTTTAACATGAAGGACATTTTCTGAGTTTCTAACAAATATTAAGTGAATAAAAATCTACTTAGCAAGTAATTTCTTGGATCATTCAGTTCCAATATAGGAATTTTAAGAATATAAATGTAAACGTCCATTATCATGGCATCTTTATTCCTAATCTGTTCCTAAATTTTGGGGAAGAAAAGTCCTTCATGTTTAATGTATTAAGAACAAAATTTTAAAGGAATTCCTTCCGGAGTACAATTTCCTCGTCTATGAGAAGGGTACAGGATATAATCCTTGATGTCATTTTAAGTGCTGCCACTTTTTGTTCTTGTAAACCTTAAGTTCTCTTAGTTTCTGAGGGAAGGAAAAACTATACAAGTTAAAAAATAAATGAGAAACTAACCTTTAACTTAAAAATTACTCTTACCTAGACTTTAAGGTCCCAGGTCTGGAACACCTTGCAGTTTCTTGCACACCTTAAAAAAAACCTTATTTTGTCAACAGTACCAATTATTGAAGGTATTTCTACTTTAAACGAGAAGTCCTCTTGTGTTTTCCTCCTGATTTGAACTGTGTAAGGGCAAATAACTGTTATCACACAAAAGTAAACTTCAGGAAGCAGAGTGTCTCTTAGAGATTGTCGTCTCCTAATGCTTCATTCTGCCATATTAGCAAATACTGCAAACAGTAAGAACCAGTGCTTCGACTTTCACCATAGGAAGGGGCTGTGGTGAACTCTAGGGAAGGCCAAGGATGCGTCAGTAACACTGCAGAGACCACCTCATAAAACCTCCCTCTTCGCCTGAAATTTCTAACGTTATAAAATGAACATTTCTGTTATAGTAACTTGTAATTATTTTAAAATAGATTTATATACAGAGAAAATTCTATGAAGCATGAACACAGTATCCAAAATATTTTCAGGGTTTTTATTTTTTATAATCTATACATAAGTTTATTTAATCAACATATAAACCACTACCCAAAGCCAAAACATAAAGTTCCCATTTTAATTAGATATACTAACTCAAGAATCTCTAAAGGCCTTCAAATTTCCCATCTAAAACAGGGGTTGGCAAACTTTTTCTGGAAGGACCACATAGTAAATATTTTAGGCTTTGCAGGCCTTCCAATCTCTGTTACAACTACTCAAAACAGCCATGGGTAATAAGTAAACAGATGAGTACAGGTATGTCCCAATAAAGCTTTATTTACAGATGCTGATACTTGAGTCTCATGTAATTTTCACATGACATGATATATTAGTCTTTGATTTCTTTCTCCAACCATTTGAAAATGCAGAAACCATTCTCAGCTGGCAGGATATATAAAAAACAGGCAGCAGAACAGATGGGGGCCATGTACCATTGTTTGCTGACCCCTGCTTCAAAATAATACCTTCAACATCCAGTCACTTCAAAATTTCAAATCGTTGCTTCCCAGAGATTTAAAGTAATTATTCAAATCTTCATCAGTAACTTCTTTTAGTTCAGCTGGTTTCCACTTTGGACTCTGGTCTTTATCTATTAAAACTGTCACGTGAAGACATGAGAAATGTTAGTTCATTTCTTTCTGGTATTACAAGATTTTAATTAACTGAATCGACAGAAACTACCTTGTACTAGGCATATTTTTCTTTAGCACGTTTTTTTCTGCCAAGTTTGAATTTTTGTATGTGTTTCAGTTTTCTTATAAATTCAGCCCCCACAGAATCTGGATGGATAGCAACGCACTGACGATGACCATGTGACTTTCTATCCTGCGAAGCCTGATGCCTCTAGCTTGAATACAGCCTACTGAACTAACCCAGGGGCTTAAGGCTGAGCCCTCTTTTCTTCTTCGAGTAAAACTGTAAATGAAATCTCCCTGCGATAAAACAGCTGAAACTAAAGTTGGTGTGGTTTAAAGAGAAGGCAGGAGAAGGTGAGGGCTCAGATCTGCCTTGTAAGCTCCTCCACGGTGATATGAGAGGAAGATCACTTAAGGCAGAGGAAAAGGGACTTGATACATAATTAAATGTGGATACAGCCATTTTGCTGAGTCCTCTAGATAACACAGCTCTGAATTAAAATACCAGACCACCTTCAGGGTATCATGAAAAACGCTACTTCTCTTATTTCAGGGTAGTCATCATTTAGTGTGGTATCCCCACAGGACTCTAAGTATGACGCAATCCGCAAGCTCTCCTTTAACACTGGGGGTAAAGTCAGTTTCCTGGCTGTAACAGTATAGTATTTATACAAACGCTACCATGTGGGAAACTAGAGGAGGGTACACAGGACCTATCCGTATTCTTTCTGACAACTGTACGTGACTCTACAATTTACCTCAAACAAAAAAAAAATTTTAAAGGGAAGGGGGAATTTCAAGCATGCTTAAAATGTGCATAATTTTTGTGAAGAATGAAAAATATTTAAACATACAGACTCTACAGTGAACCTAAAAAACTGCATTTAGCATCAGAAGGCTAAATAATTAAAGAAGCAATCTGGGGAACAAGGAGGCAGGCTGCCTGGGGAGGTGGAGAGGTTAGAGGGCTTTATGCATAATTAAATGTGGATACTGGAGGTTTTAAAGTCTGGCTGCCTAACTTTGGGATTCTGGTATCATCAGATCAGGTGTAATATATTGAACACTGAGGTTGTAATCCCTGCTAACTTGAAAGTTTTGCATTCCCTCGACAAAATAAAAACCCTGGAACATTCTCTCTACAAGAATCTCTTCTCTTTTAAGCCAGTGCTATCTACCTCCTTGACAGTCCACTGAAAGGCAAAAGGGAAGAGCACAGTAATAAAATCTGGTGTGATTTTATTGCAAACTAACAGAAAATTTTACCTAGCATAGATAAAACAAATTCTTGCCATGAGACAGCTCAGGTTCCTCAGAAGGTTCTCATGAGGCACCCACTCAAATTCCATTTCGTAGCTCTCTAGCGCTGCTAAAATAATCCATTTTTATTTTCTTCTATAACTAGGAAGACGTCTGTTCTAGATGTTAATAGTGAGCATTTTTGGCAACCATTTTCCTAATTTGCTTTGTTTATTTTATCTAATTTGCTAATATATTTTGTAATTAGGAAATTGTAGCAACATTTGGTCATGCAAGAACACCAGTTTTCCCCAGAATAGATACCACCTTCTGAATAAAAAGGTTATGCAGAAAGATGAGGCAACTACATTCTCTTCATTAAAAAGTAGCTTGATAAGCAGCTGCCTTATAAATCAGAACTTAGATGCCGCTTGGTTTCAACTCTTTCCTTAAAATAACTAACAGTTTATCTAAAAACAATACCTTTCATTTTTAAGTTTAACAAGGGCTGCTATAGGGGCCAGCCAGATGGCACAGTTGGTTAGAGTGCGAGCTTTGAGCAACAGGGTCGCCGATTTGATTTCCACATGGGCCAGTGATCTGTGCCAGAGCTGAGCTGCCAATGGGTGGCCGGATGGTTCAGTTGGTTAGAGCGCATGCTCTTAACAACAAGGTTGCCGGTTCAATTCTGGCATGCCTCCCCCCTCCCCGGCAGCTAGATTGAAAGCAGCAACTGGACTTGGAGCTGAGCTGCACCCTCCACAACTAAGATTGAAGGACAACAACTTGACTTGGGGCTGATGGGTCCTGGAAAAACACAATGTTCCCTTTCCCCAATTCCCCAACACTGTTCCCTTCCCCAATTCACCAATAAAATCTTAAAAAAAAAAAAAGGGCTGCTATAAACATATAATGAATACTTTAGGAACATAACTCAAGTACTCCACAGGTCCTCCTAAAATCATAAGTCTAGGCTCTGATCCACACGCAGCGAGAATTTGCTGGGAATTAGCAGGAAAAATGCATATTTTACTTGGTTTCAGTAAAACATAGTTCTTTCCTCTGACTCCATGAGTCCTCTGAAAGGATTTGAACCAACTGCTCATTGCTGATATTATATCGTGCCATAAATTGAGAATTCTACAGCAGTGACCAGCATTTATTGAAGCTTAAAGCTCAGAGAACATAACCTTTATTCAGATTAAATATATCCAGAGTCTGTACTATATTAAAGTGATCAATAAAAATGTAAGAAAATTAGATATGCAAAATACATGCAGAGGGAAAGACTCCTACAACAGAAAGAACAGCTATTATTTATAGGGATATGAGCATATACATAAAAGAAATTATTGAAAATTTGCTAGGAATAAAAAAAAATCACTTCACTTGCCTTTTCTAAATACTGACTTTGAAGATAAGCAAAAATAAAAATTAATAAAAACATTAGCAGATGTTACTAATTATGTCACGGTTTTTCTCAATGTCAATGTTGAACTGCTCAGGTACAGGTGAGGAGGTGGATGAGAGGGTCTGAACTGCTGGGATTTTGCCAGGCCAGTGCAAAGGAGTGAAGACGGGTAGGGGGCGTGAGGGCTTTCTGCAGGGGAATAAATGTACCTCTCAAGGGCTTCAGCAACAGAGCGCATTCACAAGCTCAGGCTGCACTTAGCAGAGGCCATCCATGTGAAAGTGAGAGCACCATTCCCTCTTATGTTTAACTTAGGGAGCGGTGACCAGGTTATCTGAATTTTTAAACAATATTGGTTTCAAACACTTATCTTCCCTTATATGCCAATTGGTAATTTTTTTTTAACTTGCCAATCTTTATAGAAGTCTAATTTTCACTAATTAAACAACTATCATATTTGATTAACAGTATATGCTCATAAAACCTATTTCCATAGTAGCCAGCAAGGAAACAGGCGTCACTTACCTGCCCTAACGCCTTCATGGAAGTCATGGCCTCGCTGAAAGAGAAAGGAGATTCAGTGGGACATCCTGGGCATCCTCATCCCTGGTGACCTCTCTCCACACCCACGTTAGCCTCCCACTCCCATGGCCACAGCCTGAGCCATGACACCAGACACTGGACCGCTCTCCTATCCTCATTTGCTCAAGTATCTCCACTGCTGCAAACCCCTCGTTTTACGGAGCTCCACTGATGCTACGACTTTCTCACCATTTGTTCTGGCTTCACTGTGCTCCTCATCCGGCCCAGTTTCCCCAGCCCATTAACGTGGTCACTTTCCCCTAAAAACGTCCTCATCTCCCTCAAGCCCTTTTCTCCCCTTTCTTCTGTCTTGGCAAAATCCCAGCACCAATGGAACCCTACCAGTTCCCTCTGCCTGCATTCGAGAGGCTACATCTTTGCTGCAGAAAAATCATACAGCTGTGACTTATTTCACTTAAAATTCGTGATCACATATCTCAAGCAGGCATGGAAAACTGCCCAACGGCCATGTTCTCTTCCCCACTCCCCAAGATAATGATTTCAACTGTCTTCTGTCTCTTCAACCTCTACCCCTAGCAAACTCGACTCTCACTATATTCTCAGCAATGACTTAATCTTCTACTTCATTGAAAAGAAAAAGAGAAGCCCTAGGCCATGACGCTCTCTCCTTCCCACACTATAACTAACCCCAGCAGCCCAGCCCCAGCCGCCTGCCCCGCGGTGCTCCTGAGTGTGGAGGAAGGGGACCCTCCCCCAAAGCCAGTCCTTCCTGCGTTCCCACACACATTCCCTCCGACCTCCTCAAGGACTTCGCCTGAGAAGGTTACCCATTTCTCTTTCCTTTCCTGGCATCAGCAGTGCAGGCAGTATAACTTAGCGGCTGAGTGCATGCAGTTCAGAGGTAAGGGTTCACCTCCTGACTCCACTACACAGCAACTGGGTGACCTTGGCACAGTCACTTCTCTAACTCCCAGTTTCCTGAAGTGGCAGCATCAATACGTCCATCACGGGATTATCTTGATCCATATCCCAGCAGTGCTGACACACAGTAAGTGCTCAGTAAATGTTAACTATTACGAGTATCATCAACATAATTCTTTTTCTCTATTGGATCATTCTCAGTCATTTATAAACATGTTCTAGTATCTTCCACCTTACAGAATAAAAAGGGAAGCTCACTTGGTTCCACAGTCTCGGCTTCTACCTTATTTCTGTTCAAAGAAGAAAGACATATATAGTCTCCACTTCTTCATATCCCATTTACTCATTTCTTCTCCAACTTGCCATACTCTAACTTCTGCCCCGACAATCCTGAGATGACCTGCCCAAATCACCCAGAGCGTTCGTGCTGCCAAACGCAGAGGAGGCCTTTTGTTCTCATGTACTGGACGCTTCGGCGAGCGCCATCCTCCCTGAAACGCTCTCCCTGCTCTCATGACACTGCACTGTCCTACCTCTCCTTCCACTGGCCTTTTTCTCTTCTTTCTCCTCTATCCCACTTCAAGATGTTGGCGCTCCTTGGGTCTCAGATCAGGGGTCTCTCGTTTTCCTTCTATATGATCTTATCCATTCTATACTCAACACATTAGCAGCTGATGGAGTCTGCTAAAACATAAGATCACGTGACTATTCCGCGCAAAGAAGTGCTTCCCACTTTACTCAGGACAAAAGCCAAAGTCTCATAAAACCTTCAAGGCCATACATGCCCTACCCCGTTAGCTCTGACTTCATCTCTCTCTCACGACTGCCCCCCAACCCACTCCGTCCACAAG